TCTCCAGGTGCCCCCACTGACCTGAGTGCCCCCTCCTCTCCTGGGTGACCCCCCCTCGCCTTGGTGCCTCCCACTCTCCTGGTGCCCCCCTCTCCTGGATGTCCCCCCTCACGTGGGTCCTTCCTCATCTGGGTGCCTGCCCTGAGTGCCCCCCTCTCCTTGGTGCCCCCCACCCTGTCCCGGGTTCCTCCCACACTCCTGGTACTCCCCTCTCCTGGTTGTTCCCCCCCCTCCTTAGTGCCCCCCACCCTCTCCTGGGTGCCCTTTCTCCTGGGTGTCCCCTCTGCTTGGTACCCCCTGGATACCCCATCTCTCCTGAGTCCCCCCTCTCCTGTGTGCCCACCACTCCTCTGGGTGCCCCCTGTTTCTGGGGGTCCCTTCCTCTCTTGGTCACCCCCCCTCCCCTGGGTGCCCCCCCCCTCTCCTGGATACCCTCCACTCTCCTGGTTGCCCCCACTCTTTGATGCCCCCCCCAAGGTGCACCCACGCACCTGAGTGTCCCTCCACTCCTCTGGCACCCCCTCTCCTGGGTGCCCCCACTCTCTTGATGTCCCCCCCACCAAGGTGCACCCACCCACCTCGGTGTCCCCCCCCTCTCTGGGTGCCCCCGCTCTCCTGCCTGCCCCCCTCTCCTGGGCACACCCCATTTTCTGGTTGCCCCCCACCCTGCACTCCCCCAGCCCGGCCCAGGGTCCCCCAGCAGCGCCCCCAGTCCCGTGGTCACACCAAGCATATATTTTATTGAAAGACCAAGTGGGTGACACGGCGTGGGGACAACCGGGGGTCGTACAGTGGCTCGGGGGGCTCTCGGGGCTCCTCTGGCTGCTGAGTTACAGATAAATATCGGGACATAGAGCGGGTGGAGTTATAGTCACGATAGCGCTGGGCGAGAGGGGCCGAAGCAAAGAAACCACCAGGCACAGCAGTGAGGAGCGGGGGGGGCCCCCAACGGGGACCCCCCCGACGGGGACCCCCCCCCGGGGCCCGAGCGCGGTGCTGCGCCCCACAGCCCCTCGGGGGGAGCTCGGCCCCCCGGGCAGGGGGATGGTGGAGCGGTGGCAGGGAGGTGGGGCCGGGGGCACCGACACGAGGGGGCCGGGGGCGGGAGACCCGGGGGCTGCAGCCGGAGGGGGGGTTTGGGCCGTTCCTGGGGGCTGCAGCGCCGGGGGGGACCCCCGTTCCTCAGGGTGGGGGGCTGGCACTGCGCAGGGCTCGGGGGCTTCATGGAGATGCTCACCCTGGCACACGTCCCCCTCCCCGCGCCCCCCTCAGCCCCCCCACAGCCTCCCCCCAGCCCCACTCACCCCCTCGAGCCCCCCTCTCGGTCCCCCCCGTGTCCGGGGGGCTTCTCCCCGCTCCTGCCCCCCGGGCTGGCGTTGCTCATGCAGGGGGTGGGGGGCGGCTCCTCCCCGGCCCCCCCCAGGCCGGGCTGCGTCACCGCCGTGCCCGGGGTGCCCGGGGTGCACCCCGATACCCACCCGTGGTCCGTGGCAGCCCCCGGCCCCCCGAGAAGCGGTGAGGGTGTGCGGTGGGGCCGTGGGGCCTGGGCTGGAGCGTGTGCGGGGGGGCCAAGCCGGCTGGCTGGGGGTCACACAGTCTCTGGCCGCCGTGGGGCTGGAGGGGGGTGCGGAAGCAGGAGCCCCCCCGCTGCCCCCCTACTCCAGGTAGATGTCCTCTGTGGGGCAGGCGTATTCCAGGTGCTCCTGGTAATATTCCTGAAATGCTCGGCTGCGGGGACGGGCACAACGGGGGGGGGTTCAGGGTTGGGACCCCAATCCCCTGAATCCCCCGCACCCCCAAACCTGGCACAGCCACACCCCAGCACCCAGACCCCCCCCAGCACCCACAGCTCCACTGCACCCCTACCTGTAGCAGTGTCAGCCCCCCAGCACCCCCCAGAGCTGGCACAGTCCCCTCTCCAGGATCCAGATGCCCTGTACCCACACCCCAGCCCTGACAGTCCCAGTCCCCTGGCACCCAGGCTCCCAGCACAGCCAGCCCCCTGCACCCAGACATCCAGCACCCCCAGCCCCTCTGTACCCCCAGCCCCAGCACTGCCAGATCCCCAGACCCCTGCCCCCTCACACCCGTACCCCCAGCCCTGCCAGACCCACAGACCCCTGCCCCCTCACCCATACCCCAGCACCCCCAGTCCCAGCACTGCCAGCCCCCCAGACCCCTGCCCCTCACACCCCAAAGCCCAGCACCCCCAGCCCCAGCACTGCCAACCCCCCAAACCCCTGCCCCCTCACACCCATACCCCCAGCCCCAGCACTGCCAGCCCCACAGACCCCTGCCCCCTCACCCATACCCCAGCACCCCCAGCCCCAGCCACCCAGCCCTCTGCCAGCCCCCCAGCACCCAGTCCTCCTGCATCCAGTCCCCCAGCACCCAGCTCCACTGCACCCTCACCTCTGGCACTGCCAGCCCCCCAGCACTCAGTGCCCTGGTGCCCAGACCCCCTGCACCCCCAGACCCCCTGCACCCAGCATCCCCAGACCCTCAGTACCCCCAGACTGCCTGCACCCCTAAGCCCCTGGCACCCAGACCCCCAGTCCCAACCTCCCCACCTGCCCTGCACCCAATCCCACGGTCCCACCCCCCCCGTGTCCCCCGTCCCCGTCCCCTCCGTACCCGACACACTCGGCCACGTGTCTCATGGACTCCTGGGACACGAACACGTGGCAGGCGAAGCGGCTCAGCACCGGGTGCTTGGTGATGAACCCGAAGTAGCTGTGGGGGGCACAGGGTGAGGGGGGAACAGGGTGAGGGGGGTACAGGGTGAGGGGGCACAGGGCGAGGGGGGCACAGGGTGAGGGGGGTACAGGGTGAGGGGGCACAGGGTGAGAGGGAACAGGGCGAGGGGGGCACAGGGTGAGGGGGGCACAGGGTGAGAGGGAACAGGGTGAGGGGGGCACCCCTACCCTGCCCTGGGCAGGGAGACACCCATCAAGGCCCCCGGGGCAGCCACAGCAGGACCAGGAGTGGGCAGAGGGTCCTGGTGTGGCCTGTGGGTGCCCCTGGCAGGGGATGGGGGTCCCTTGTGATGACCATGGGGGGCTGGGGGGCTCACCAGCTGTTCCGGGGGTGGCACCCGCAGAAGGAGATGTTTTTCATCTGGAAGAAGTGGCTGCAGCGCTCGAACTGGGAGGGAAGAGCAGGGGTGTGGGTGGTCGGCTGAGTGCTCAGAGACCCC